TTAGGTCATACTGAAAAAGACACCCACTGGCTCCGCTTCTTTGCAACATCTTTGAGGAAAGAATTTCTAGAATGAGGATTCTGAAATACAACTATGTGGGTAACGTTTCTAAGTTCCCAGAATTCATAGGATTTCTCATAATTTAAATATCTAGCATTTTTCTTTTACTTTGATTTGTATTAGATTATAAAACTGGTGGGATAATTATTCATGTTAAAAAGAATTATTTTCATGTTTTAAGCTCTAAGTATATTTCAAACTCTTTTCATTTTATTTTAATTATGGTGAGACAGCAGAGTATTTATAAATGTAAGTCACCCAGATGACAATATTTCAAATACTTCCTGCATTCTTTTAAATTAATAAACCCAAAGCCATCTTTTGCAGAAATAACTGCCTTAAGCTTCAAAAAGTTTTCAGTTTGGAAGTAGCAAAGTTCAACATTTTAACATGAGTTGTTTTATTAATACTGTAAATTTCTGTGGTGACAGGAAAAATTGGAGAAGTGATCCATGGAGGAGATTCAAAGCATCCTGAAAAACAGACTCCTCTTAAACTTTTACGGAATACAAGATTCTTATTTTTCCTCTCTATTTTGCCATTTTGCTAATGGCCTTTACTATTATTTTGATTATCTAAATATAATTGAATTTATTTCTGTGGAAATTAAATGAATACAAACCAAAGGAAAAAAGAAAAGTCTATTTATTCAGGGCTTGCTATAACAAGGGAGTCGGCCACCATCAGTTGCATTTTGGCCAAGAACTCAAAGGCAGGCAGAGTAGAAAAGCCTTACAGTGGAAAAAGGGGAAGGCTTCCCGTGTGCCCTGATTGCAGGCAGCTGGCATGGGGAAGCTGTGGGCCGCCTAGCTAGAAACTGGTATCCTGTTGCATATTTGCCTCTCTCTGGTTGGTCCTAAGTTGGAAGAGGGGACAAAAATTAGGGAAGTTGTCAGTCATTCTTCAAGTCCTGGCCGTTTTAGACCAATTGTTCCAGAAGTGATTGTTAATTCCTAGACCATTGCCTGAGATAGCATCTGACCCCCTCCAAGTCTGACTTAAAGCAGGCTGGTTTCCTGGGCTGTTTGTTAGAAACAAGGAGTTGGTTTTCTGGGCGGGTAGGTGTAAACTGTTCTATTTTCATATACGGTCTGGCCATTATCTTTGTATATGCAGTCTCTCATTTCCAAATCAATTATCATTTAATGTGCCACAGAAATATTGGTATAATTCAGATTCAGAATAGGGAGGCTACCTCTATGGAAATTTAGGCCCCACGACTGGGGGGCTTCACATAATTCCTTTTGTATGAAGGCCTACGCACATGGAGACAAGCTGAGAGGACGTGGTAAGAAACAAATTGGAGCTGTCAGCTGCCGGATAGACACTAGGCCACAAGGAAAGGTTTAGAGCAGCCTAGCACAAGCAGATGCTTTTCAGCAACCTAGGGTAACATAAATGAGTAAAGCCAGCCAACTCTAGGACAGGGAACAAGACAGGAGACTGGTAATTGAAGAATGGCTGTTTAGCCTAAAGGCACTCAAACACATACCATATTTCAAGATTACCCTGCATATCAAACAAAACTAATCTACTGGAAACATGGCCCAGAGACCTGTCTGTTTGGGCTCCCGCCCAATCTGATATTGAGCCAGTACGCAATGGTTTGGCCATACTGATTGGTCAGTCACTGATTTGATTAGGCACCCAAGACAACCGGTTATTAAATACGAATTTTGAATGTCACCTCACTCTAAAGTGAGAGAGTCAGGGCGACCCCCCCACCCCCCACAACTGGTGGTTGCCAAGAATAAATGATTTGGGATACAGTAGTTTTTCAGGTAGGCTGATGTTTTCTTCCTGTCTAGGCACTGGGTAATTTGTGCCAAGCTTTGTCTGAATTG